GGGCTCCTTGGGGGTGGTGGTTGCAGGCTCCTTGGTGGTGGTGGTCACGGGCTCCTTGGGAGTAGTGGGAGCTGGCACCTTGGGGGTGGTGGGTGCGGGCTCCTTGATGGTAGTGGTCACGGGCTCCTTGGTGGTGGTGGTCATGGGCTCCTTGGTGGTGGTGGTCGTGGGCTCCTTGGGACTAGTGGGAGCTGGCTCCTTGAGGGTGGCGGGTACAGGCTGCTTGAGGGTGGTGGGAACTGGCTTCTTGGTGGTAGGGGGTGCAGGCTCCTTTGTGGTGGTGAGAGTAGGGGCTTTGGTTATAGTTTCAGCTTTGGGTGTAGGTTTAGCAGGCACTTCAGATGTGGGAGCAAAATCTTTGCCAGATGTTTTCTCTGCACTTTGTGTCTCTTTAGCTGAAGTAGTCTTCTCTTTTGCACTAGTTGAAGTCTGTTTAGTGGTACCAGCCTCTTTAGTTTCTTCTGTTGTCTCTTTATTGGCTGTTGAAGATGTCTCCTTGGATGTGACCTTAGCGGCACTTGTATTAGGATTAGGTGTAAGACTCAGTTTAGGATTTATTGGTTTTGCTGTTGTGGTCTTGGGAGATGTGGTAACTTTACTGCCCTTGCTGGTAGAAATGTAAGGAGTTGGAGTGAGCTTGAAATCGCCATTATCCAATCCACTTCCAGCTTCATCTACAGCTGGTGGTTCGGAGGTAGGTCTCTTTTTAGGAGTTCTTTTCTTCTTGTTATCTTTTACTAGAGAAAAAAAAATACATCTTGTCATTATTGTTTTTTGTCTTTAGTAAAGACAGAAAGATCTCATCATTGACTAGCTGTGTGTCTCTAGACAAACTGCTAACCTCTAGTATGTCCATTAATTTATTGTAAAATGATAAAATACTAAACCTATCTTATTGGGCTCTTTTAGGAAATAAATTTAGATAAAGATGAAAAGCCCAAGTAAAACCCTACACGCTTAATACATGGAAGCCAATGGCAACTTTGGAATTCCTAGCACAAATTGATCTCTTTATATTAATGTTCTCTGCTCCCTGCTTTTACCCCTCCTCTTATTCCTCATTACCCAATGTCCCTTTCTTCCTCCTGGAAACCTAGCTCCAACATCTCTGAGTTTCCCTGCACCAACTGATTCTGAGATCTCTCCAACTACCCCATAGGAGTCTGCTTTAATCACCTTGGCCCTTCCTGAGCCTTGTTACTGTACACCTAGCTATTAGCTGCTCTCTTCCCTCTGCCCACCCAAATATGGCAGTGCCAGGGGAAGTAGAGAGGAGATTAGGATGCCATGACAGCAAAAAGACCCTATTTAACAGTATTTCCCATAGCAGCTATCCCATAAGTGAACTACAAAGCCTTAGGGGCACATCACTGAGGTGAATTCCATTTTGCAAACGTGTATCACACTTCTATCGTGTGCAAGACTCTGGACGATCCAAACACTAATATCTGACTTCAGCTAGAGAGAATGCTTCAGAGGAAATAACAACTACCCAGGAAATAGAGCTCTTCATAAATCCAACATCATATTTCCTGGGAAAATAGAATATATTTTAGGATTTAAGGAAATAAGAGCAGAATGAAGGGATTCTCTTTTCGGGGGGTAATAGCCTACTCTGTAGTATGTTAATCTACTAGAAAAAAATCAACCAGGTATGACATGCAATTTATGAAGAAAATAAGAGGATCTGTAAAATGTAGATAAAACTAATGCATAGAGGCTTATGAGGAATTAATATTTGTAAAACACCTCAAGCAGTATAAAAGTGTTTGTTAAATAAAAAGAAAGCTGGTGAAGGAAAAATGAAAACACAAGAAGATACAGGAAGAAGAAGAAAGAAGAATATCATGTGGAGAAGAACTGTAAAAGAATGTAATAATCATCTCCGGTGCTATCCTGAGGTTCCACAGTCGCTTCTACAGTATCTTCTTATCCTTTGCTTTTTAGTGGTTTTTAGTTGCTTGGCATGAATTTCCGGTAGGAAGTGTTCATTAGATTATCTTCTAAAGTAATTTTATACAGTTACATGCCACCCTCAAATATTGAAATATCCTCAGATCATTCTACCAACACACATTACTTTTAAACAATTATTGTTAACATGGCATTGATATAGTCTTTGATCTTTATCAATGCTCAAACCTTTGGGTTTCTTCTTTAATTCTGAATTAGCAGCTGAATTTTTGGAAGACTTGATTTTCCGAGTATTTGGAGAGGAAGAGGAAGAGGAGGAGGAGAACTCTTGATTTTCAGAAACAGAATATTCTAGAAATCAAATGAAAAGGTTGATCACACAAACTGTGATTTAAGACCAAAAAGTACCGCCAATCCAAATACAACAAGAATTGCTGTTTACTGATCTATAAATATCTGTGCTTTGCTATTATTTCATCAGCAATATGATCAACTACCTTTTAAATTTAATTGTCTGTTAAAGCAAGGCACCTGAGCTGTTATAGATACTAGCAGAATAACTTTCTCTCAACTTTCCTATATCTGTCAAAAATTTCTTACAGAATCTATTTTGCAGAGAAAATCACGCTCTTTTCTTTTTCTTTTTTCTTTTCTTTTTTTTCTTCTTTACATGACGTTTGTCTTTTCTGATCATTTTAGCCTAGACCAATACTGGGTTTGGAAAATAAAGGAAGAGTGTAAATTCATAAGGATTTATGCTTTGGCTTAAATTTTGATTTAAAGCAAAGAAAGCTTTCTTTAAAAAAAAAAAAGAGCAAAAAATAGAATGAACCTTTCATGACTCACAAGATTACCCTGTTCTCTGAGAACAATCTTATAAAAGAAATCCACCTACAGGTGATGGCATCTAAGAAATCCACCTTTTGACCCGTCTGTAATCTTCCTACCTTCTGTTATTTCCTCTGATTCTATAACTGTCTTAATCTTCTTCTTGTTTGGTGATTTAGGTGAATGTTTGGTGGATGATTTGATGTTGTGAGATGCTGCTGGAGCTGGAGGTGCAGTCTTTGAAGATGGTGGTGATGTGGGGTTATGCACTGAGGCCAAGCAAGACAGGTGGGTTAACATCTTGTTTATATTCATCAGCAAGTCTAACTGTGAAACGCACAGAGGCATCTGGCTTCAAGAGTAGATGCTGGTGAAAACCAGTGCAGGTGGGCTGCACTTAAAACTCCAGACCAATTAATTCTAAGGATGCATTGCTATAAAGTATCATTTCTCAAATAGTTATAAAATATGACAGGAAACAGTGGCTCAAGAGTCGGAGGACCTAAATTCCAGTCTTAGGCCTGTGAGTCTCTTCCGATTGTGACCTTGGTCACCCTTCTTGAACTTTGTTTACTTGTATGCAAAATGAAGTGTTTATCCTAGATGATTTCGAAAGATGTTTGACAGCCTGAAAATACTTCACTCTATGAGCTTGATCCCTTGTGCCACACTTCTGTGATTATAAAAACAATACTGCATGTGAATGGCAAGATATTCATGCTCTTAAGAAGAGGAATATGATCACTACATTTTTCTGTTTTCATATTAATTTAAATCAAATGATACCAACTTACTTTTCATTAATTTTTCTTAGTTACAAAAGTTCTACATGAACATTTACCCATGTGAAAATTTTACACCTTCACATTATGCTTTTCCTCAAAATGTGTTGCCCTTCTCAAAGATAAACAGCTGTTAATGGTTTACTGTATATCTTTTTAAATCTTTTATCTCTTCTGCAACCTTTTTCGTGTCTAGAAGAAAAGACACTGGGGCATTTTTTGATAATTAGGAAGCAGAAGAAAAGACGAGGGACTTCTGGAAGATAAAAAAAGCAGAGAACAATCATTAGTCTCTGGGTAGAGGAGCATTGTGGTGAGTCCTACTACTTCACCAAACATCCAAACATCTCAGAACTTACAGCTGTGTTCTCCACGAACTGACAACTATACCTCTCCCTTTTCTCCACACCCAACAAAAACACCAAGTACATCAATTTGAGAAAGGGTTCTGCTATGCATTAGCTGGTGATCTGGGGCAAAACAATTAACCTCTTGGGCTCAGTTTCCTCACCCACATTATGAAGAGATTGAACTGCTTTGATTCCTTCAACTGTTGACATGTTATGATTTTGAGTTATATAGAGATGCCTATGAGCAGTATCTGTGGCAATGCTGAAACAATTAAGTGGTGAGTCTCAAAATAGTTTGGTTGTTATTTTTCAAAAGAAAGTATTTGAAGCTCTGGGCAGTTCCTTTATTTTCATTTGGGACTAGACCATCTCTGTGAATGCTGTAAATGAAGTTGCCTGGCATTGCCTTCATCTGGTTTTTTCATTGAGTTCTATTTCAACTTCAGGCATCTGACACAGCACTCGGTAGCATAAAGCATTGTCTTTATTCAGATGCTGTCTCAAAGCTTCATCACTCCCTATCCATTTTCCCTCCCCACTCACCCCCCTGCCTAAAGTAAATTTTAACTTTTTGTCTCACAGCCAAAACCAGTATCAGGGTAATGAGTAAATATGTATCACTCATCCTGGGTCCTCTGAAAGATGCAGGAACTCTGAGCTCTGAGGTTTTGATTAGGAGGGTGTTGTCTACAGTTTTTTTTTTTTTTTTTTAATGCTTTCCAATAATAACATTCAACAGTTAAGAAACATTCCTCAACTATGCAGATTAAGTTTTCCACCCTATCTTTCTCCACTGTTCTACAGAAGTAGGAGGCACAGACTCGTTTAAATAAAATAAGATTATGCGAGCAATGCTCATTTTTTCAATGTTACCTCCACAAATATTTTTACTTTAACAAAGCAGGACTTGATTTTTTTTTTTTTTTTTTAAAGCAATCTGTCATTTGTTTTTAGAATCTTTTTTGTAAAGTCTGGAGGGTTTTGTTATACACGGAGTAGGTTAAGTGTTTGGCTGCTAACCAAAAGGTCAGCAGTTCGAATCCACCAGCCCCTCCTTGGAAACACTATGGGGCAGTTCGACTCTGTCCTATAGGGTCGCTATGAATCAGAATTGACTTGATAGCAACAAATTTGGTTTGATTTTGATTTGAGTACTCATTCAGCATCTATAACCAGAAAAGATCATTTTAAAACATATATCCCTTTTATTGACTCTGTGATGCACAACAAGGAACCCTGGTGGCACAGTGGTTAGGAGCTGGGCTGCTAGCCAAAAGGTCAGCGGTTCAAACCCACCAGCCACTCTGCGGGAGACAGATGTGGCAGTCTGCTTCCACAAAGATTACTGTCTTGGAAAGCCTATGGGGCAGTTTTACTCTGTCCTATAGGGTCACTATGGGTCAGAAATGACTCTACAGCAATGAGATTACACACAACTATTTGTACAGAGGTAGGAAGGGAAATACAACTGCAAAGTTAGCAACTTCTTAGTAGTTTTGCCTATAAATTCAGTGGCTTAAACTGATTCATAAATTTACTTGCTCAGAGAAGCTGAAAGTGTTGACAGGCGCCTATCTATGGAAAATAGCACCTATGGCAATTAGTTTTAAATTGCGGAATGATCTCTCACAGCTGGTGATGGAAACTGAGATGGCTAATCAAAACGGCTCATTAGCGCCCCTCCTCAAAGCAGTGCCCAGGGCACAAGCCCTATCTGCTATACCTTAGTTACACCTCTGGCACCGTGTTGGTGCTGTCCTTAAATATATACTCAAACATTAAGACCAAAAGCACAAATAGCCCAAAGGACAGTTGATTTTGATTTTGTGGAGTCAGCACCATTAGGGTAAGACAAGAAATCATCAGGTGGGTTGGTTACTATTGGCTTAACCTGAAATTGAACCAAATCAGAAGAATTAAAGCATGTGCACACAGCCCTTGTCCTCTCTGCTCCTCAATCTGGAGACCTCCTCTGTGCTCCTGGAGCCTGGCTAAACAGGAACTACTGTTGGAAGAAGCTTTCCTTCTTTAATTCATTTCCCTGAAACAAAATTATTATGGAATGGCTTAAATGTTGGCAAAATCAAGGCCTTAGATGGCCTGCATGTTAGACATTATCCATGAAGCTAAGGAAGATACACAGATCTGGGGGTACCGAGAGGCATCAATCAATACTGTGATGCTTACCTTCTTCACAGAAACTCTCATAATCATGGCAGCACTTGCCAAACTTCTTACAGTCTGAGTCACAGTCACATTCTCTCCCTCGCCTGAAGGACTCGAAGCAGCGGCCTTTACAGGAAAGCTCTACCCAGAGCAAAACAAAGCATTATGGATTATTGATTATGCAGTATAGCCCGTGCGTTGGTACATTTTGGTACCAATTTCCCACTAGCTGACTAGTGTTCCAAAAGTGTGTTTCTAAGTCTTTTATTTAGAATTTGAAGTACATTGTCCAGTAAAAAAAAGGATGGCGTCCCAAGTGGAGACAGTCCAAGTCAAAAAGCAATGTGGTGACTTAGGGAAACTTTTCTTGCCCTTCAAGACTCCAGGGCAGAGCCCAGTATTTCCTGAGACATTTATGAGCATGGACAATGGAAAATTAAGAGGTGCCTCAATAGTGAAGTATCCTTCATATGAAATCCCTCCATCTTCTCCTCCTTACACCACTGCTTTGCAATCAATTAATATTCATCGAATGTTCAGATTCTAGAACAATATATTCCAGCAAGCTGGCTTAATATAAGTGGGTCACTGTTCAGGCTTGAAGATCCTTTATAATGCAGAGCTCTTTATTACGACAAACTTGGCAAAGAGTTTGAAAGTTTTCAGCCTAATCTCATGGAAAGAACTATGTAAATGAGGCCTGCTCAAAAAAAAAAAAAAGCCTTGCTTAGAGATACAGTGACTTCACAGCCCTATTTGAAATAATTACCTTATACAACATGTATATTGTGCAATGACATAATTTATTGGCTTTATATGCAAATTATAAAGCAAATATAACTTTTAAGGATTTTAATTATAATTTTCATATATTGAATATGAAATGTTCCTATGTTCATGACAAAATGGCTCCAAAGGTGTTCAAGTGAAATAGCACTCATAGTTTAAAATTCAGACCCTTTGGGTTTTAACTGAAACTCAACCAAATATTAAACACTAATGCTTCATAGGTGTCTTTTTTTAGGTAATTTAGAACATGTTAATATGAAAAAGTCAAGTAGCAGGCAATCAAAATTATTTTGTATCTGTGGATTCATTTGCTAAAACAAAACAATTGAAGGGCCCCACCACAAAGCAATTACGTCTCTGATTGTTAGATAATTACTCCTGACTGTTTACTGGATGGAGCCCTATAGGGTCGCTATGAGTTGGTTTGGTTTTGGTTTGGATGGAGCCCTAATGGTGCAGTGGTTAAGTATTCGGCTGCTCACCAAAAGCTTGGCAGTTCGATGACTCCTAAGTCACAGTATTTAAGGCTCTATTTGAAACAGGGCGTCCCTGGGTGGTGCAAACAGTTAACGTGCTCAACAGGTAACCAAAAGGTTGTAAGTTCAAGTCCCCCCAAAGGCACCTCAGAAGAAAGGCCTGCTGATCTACTTCTGAAAAATCAGCCATTGAAAACCCTAGGGAGCACAGTTCCACTGTGACACACATGGGGTTGCCCTGAGCCAGAGTCAACTCAGTGGCAACTGGCTTTACCGCTACTGGTTTAAAACAGGACATTTTACTTGGAGACAACCAACAACCTTTTGCAAGTGACAGATTTCCAGGCCCCCCTCACCCTCTCACAGTAACCAGAAGCTTTGACACCATCCTTAGGCACAGCACATTGCAACATTTATGCAAGTACAGGGAAAGACACTTAAGCCAAAGAAATGAAGTAGCGTGAGAACAATACTGCCAGGCGGTACAAGGGGAGCCTCGCAGGTCAGTGTGGCTTGAGAGAGGAGATGCCAGCTCTCAGGACTTACCCACAGTGCAGACTTTCTTGAAGTCAGGGCAGCACTCCATGTAGTATTGGCAGTTATAATCACAGTTGCAGGCAGCATCTCTAGAATACCCTTCCCCACATCTCCCTGCACAGCTTGATAAATCTAAAAGTATACAATACTATCTTAAACATGGCCAAATCACTTTGTAGAAAGGACGCGATCTAATGAAGAAGACAAAACTGCTTGGTGAGGGAATGTTTGATTGATTGGAAAAGCTATAGGCCCAGCTGATCTCTGGCTGATCTTTTATGTGGCCTTGATGACGCTCTTTACTCATCACCAGACTGAGAAGATAAATGCACACTTGAAAATCAGGCAAGGTAATGGCTTTACATAAGAGGGTGATCGTCCTCGGGAAGGAGGGAGGAAGGGCAGTTACAGCTACTGCTGATGCTGCTACTAGGGTGATTTCTATGCAGTTGCCATTTACGGAGCTTCTCTGTGCCAGGCACCACATCATACGTTATCTCTAGTGCTTGTAAAAAATGTTTCCAGGAGAGTATTACCAGCCCCTTTAGAAATCAGAAAGCTGAAACACAGAAATTTAAGTGACTTGCTCAAGGGCATACAACTAGTACACAGTTCCGAGTAATAAATATTATAGGTTAATTAATACCTATTAATCTTACTGACTCCTTTTATTCACAAAAATGTTCTGATTTTGATGATGAATTACATGGTCATCCTAAGTAAACAGCCCAACATTTGAACGCTCATAAATCTGATTCCAGAGTCCCACCCAATCACATTGTCTCTCCTGCCTGGTAAGAAGTTTAAAGCAGGCTGGTTATGCCAGCACAGACTGTACTAGAGTTCCTCCTCTTTCATCGGCGGGGACAACTGGATTCTTTAAATTTTGGACAAGTTGGATGCTTACAACCACTCTTAAAGTGAGTACAAAATAGATATCCTTTGAAATCTTACCAAGCATGAATATGAAGGTGATGAATAGGTTTATGCTGGGCAATAAACCAAGTACAGCAGCATCATTATCAAACATTTCAAAAAATATTTGGAAAATAACACCCTAAACCATCCCTGAGAGATCACCACGGGGCTGTAACAATAGAGTCCCTCAACTGAATAGATGGGCAGGCGCAACGTTCTAAAATCCATAGAGAGACGTTGAAATACACTGAAAACATCTCAAAACAATGAGTCCAGAAAAGTTAGTCTTAATATGCAAATAATACAATAAAGATTAGGACAACTTTCAGAACTTTTTGCATACATACGTGCACAATACGTACAAAATGCATATATAGTGTATGTATATAAATACATATATTATATATAGAAAGAGAATAGGAGAATAAGAAGAGGTTGAGGAGAAAGCAAGAGAAGCAGACAGGACAAAATCAAAAGATTATTCTTTTACAGGTGGCAAATTTCTAAACAGAAAATCAATTCTCTTTACAGGAAAAGGCTTATTTTCATAAATCAAATGGCTGTCCTACTTTCATTTCTATTAATTTTAGCCACTAATTTTAATTTCATTTATTTAAAGGAAAGTAAAACTGCTTTAGTGGAAAAAGTAATTAGGAAACGTACCCAGGATATGAGACTTGTGATACTATTTTGAGAGAGCTGAAGGGTCTGAAGATACTAGATTCATCATCATACTTTCCTAAATATGTATATATACTTTCATGCTTCTATCCATCTTTTCTTATCTAAGCAATTCTGGAACTCTTATCTGTCATGCTCAGAATTTTAGTTATTTTACTGGAAATATCTACTTTAGCAATTTCACCATAACGATCATGTGTCTTGATTTTTTCTCCCCTTGGATTTTGCTTATCAAGTGAATAAAAAGAAAAGAAAAATCCAGAACTTGGCATTATTGTCACTAATCAACCTAGATCACATGCTATGAACTCTTGTCAGTGTGTTTACATTGAATGTACCATAACATGTTCTCTAAAATGTGAATAACAAGAACCATTCATCCAGGTCTGACTCTTTCCTTGGAGGAGTGTGGTTAGTTCAATGTTATAATACAAATGGCATTCACATCTGTGTAAGTCCACATCTGTGTAAGTCCTTGTAAGAACGAGAGAATACTTTCAAGATTAATAAAATGCCATTTGAAACTCAGTGAATATTTATTATGACATGATATCTATGTCTACATGATGCCAAAATGTTATTTGAAAATCATTTATTTGATGTACAAGACTAGTTAAATTTCTTTTTCAACATGTAGGCAAAAATGATATGCTATTTAAATATTTTTCTTTTCAGTTATTTTGATGGTGTTGGATACCTCCAGCATAGCTTTATCATGAAGGTGTCTGTATTTTTTTAAACTATCAAGAGAACCATAGGAAAAAATGAGTGCCCAAACTATTCTACACGTAAATCTCGCTCTTCTTGAACAATTTCTAATATGGAAGGAAAAAGTGAGAATCCCAAAATGCTTATAATTAAATGACATGTTTTACATGATTTTAAAGTTATACTATCTTTTAAACTAAAAAAAATACATTTTTAGAAATCCATTTCTTTTCCTGTCATGAAAATCAAAACTGAATGATAAGCAACAGTGATTGAGTAAAACTATTTTTGATGGTATAGGTACCTTGAGAAGAAACGTGCTGAATCAAGAAAACAGAAAGCAGCAGCAGCAAGTAAATAGGAAGTATTTTCCACTTCATGGTTATTTTCAGGTACTGTGTCCTTGCTGAAAATAAAATGAAAGTATTAAAAACTTCTTTTTAAGATCAGTGCTAACATATGCCCTTGTTACATACAATATTTCAGTATCTTTTAAAATGCAATTTAATAATAAAACTATCCTATTCTTGAAACAACTTTTTAATCAGTTTTAATTTTATAATAAATATTTGATCATCAGATTTAATCATATGCAGCATATATCATCAAGTCACCATCTCAGTCCTGTTACTGACCTTATTAACACTTTAGAAATCCCCCAAATTGAAAATAGACTTATCTTAAACTCTATCCAAATTATAGCATGTACTTAAAGTGCAAGCTTTAAATCCTATCTTGGGGGGAAAAAACCAGCTTCAGTAAAATTTAACAAACAGAGTTATCGTTCCAACTTTCCTTTAACTCATAAATTTATAAGCGTCCAACAGGTGTATTACATAACTATGATTTTTTTCAAAGCTTTCCAACTACTACCCATGTAAATCTTTTTAAAACACCTTTAATAAAGTATATCCCTGTTGAACTAAAAGCACATTTAATTCCATGAAGCAAGTTAACTTTGACACTTACCCGTCAAAGATAAATGAATTCCTCCAATGTTCTGTAAGTCTTATATATCAGGCCAAACATATTGGGACGAACCAATTAGTCCAAAGGTTAGACAAAATCAACAGTGACAACCTATGAAATCAAACTTTCCTCATTTCTTGGAAGAGGGCCCAGATGACTAGACTTAGGCAACATCTGGAAAACACTTCCATTAAGAAAAATACTACTACAAAATAAATTTAGATTTATTGGTCAAAACGCACTGTTCTGAGGTGGTAAATCACTCTGGCAGGCTTTGACCTGTGTTTCGAAGCAGCACCTTTGACATAGCCAAGTGCAGGTATCCTGTCGCTCTTTCTTTCTCTTCTTTCTTTCCTTCTTTCCTTCCTTCCTTTCCCTTTTTTGTCCCAGTTAAATCTAGCAAAGGATAATTTTGAAACTTGTGCAGTGTTAGTTTATAGTATAAATTTTGTAAACTTATACCATTAAGTCAAATGTACATCTCTTTCCTTATTTGCATTTTCACTGAGCACAGAAAAACTGCTCTCAAATTATCTACAGATATATTATCCACACAGTGGATTTTCTAGCTTCCTTTACCACAGAAAAGGCTGTATTGATATGTCTCCAAGCCCCTTTGTTTAAGCCTAGCAGTGTTTAGAGCATGTTTTAGTTTTCCTTCCTTGCCACAGAGAAAATGTGAACAACTACTCTTGCAGAGCTAAGTCAGCTCAGCTTAAGACTTTACCCCAGTTTGATATGGAATGTTGCTGTTCAAATGCTACCTACCGTTAAGGCCTAACTTAAGTCCTAACACCTCTCTGAAGCCTTCTGGGATCAATCCAAACCACGTGCAGGATTACAGTCAACAAATGCACTACATTTTATTAAAATTATCTGTTCCGTGTCTCCTCACTTCCCCCCAACAGACTGTGATTTCCCCAGGGACAACCATCACCTATGCCTTAATTTTATTGGCAACATCTAGTCCAGTGCTTCACAATGTGCTTCACATGTGCTTCACACGTGCTTTTTGAACCAAACAGTCATACCTGGATTCTGCTGTGTGTTGTACATTTGGTACGCACTGAATTTAATTATCACAAACTGTCCTTAAGTAAAACAAGGTCATCCACATTTTACAAATAAGAAAAGGAAGACTCAGAGAATTTGTGAGCCATCCCAGGATCCATAAGGAGTAGGAGCCAGAGCCAGGTCTTTTCATTTTAAGTTCTGTCAGGCTTCTGCTATATCCAGCTCCCTTTTGATCAAAGCTATCACCTTAGTACTAAATCGTAGTACTAAATGTTACTCTTTTGTAAGTACATGGGTTTATGAGATTGTGACCTTTTTAAGGACAAGGACTGTAACGTAAGTATCTCTTTTGTTCCTACAATGATTATTTCTGGACTAAACGTATAGTACGTAAAAGACGATTTAGAGGTTATCTTCTTAGCTCTAAATAATTCCCTGTTCTCTGGGAACTGTTTCTCCACCCATAGGGTATGCTCCTGGTAGCCATGTTTTGATACATGTTCTTGCCCCATTAGATACAACTCAGAGGACTGAGAGTAGAAACCTGGACTGAACTGGGCCAATATATTTCTCTCTCCTAGGAATTTGGAATTACGATTCAGAGATAACTAAGACTCTCTGGCTGTGTAGATTTGATTTGTAACATGTAAACTTCTGTCCATGGACTGAAGAAGCAGCCAGAGTCCTTCTGAAGAAAGAGATAGAACTGAATGCAGCAGCCCTGCAGAGAGAAGCAGAGCAAAGGTCAAGGGATTGCTGATAACTTTCTAGGTCTTGGCTTCTCTGTCCCAAATGCCTTCTCGCTCTGTATCTTTAAGGTAGATCCCCCCTTTGGGGCGGAAGCTGGCTAAAAATACTTTCTGTTACTGACAATCACTAATCAATACACAGTAGTTGTACAAAGATACTGTTGGCTGGAGTTGAACCAAATTCGCTTCATTCTGAGGTCAAGAGAAGGAAGCTAGAAGGGTAACTTTTTGAACTCAGACCTTTACATTGTTACTTTATCATTGGTTTGAAATGTTGGGAATACCCAGAATATCAGATACAAATATAAATATAAACCCATATTCTTAAATCAAATATAAATTGCTTTCTGATTATTGCCATTTGGAACAATGTGTGCTATCATTTTCCTCCTTTGGATAGAGGTAATTATAATGATGGCAGATGACATTCTTAAATTAATTGAATAATGCGCTTTAATAACACTTGTTCTTAAGTCCAATTTTTAGACTTTAAAAACAAACAAAATAAAACATGCCACACACAAACACACACATCTACTATGACCCATGTAGGCTATAACTTTAAACATATTTGTTAACATGTTCTAATTGTCATCAAATATGTTTTCTTCATATAATAAACCTTGAAAGAGAATGAGAAACTTTTTGTCAAACTCATTAGATTTAACTCATAAATACCTGATTTACCTAATTCTATTAGGTAATGGAGGAGCCCTGGTGGTGTACTGGTTGAAGCGCTTAGCTGTTAACCGAAGCGTCCATTCGAACCCACCAGCTGCTACATGGGAGAAAGATGTGGCAGTCAGCTTCCTTAATTAAGGATGTACAGCATTGGAAACCCTATGGGGCAGTTCTACTATGTCCTTACAGGGTCACTATGAGTTGAAATTGACTCGATGGCAACGAGTTTGGTTTTTTGGTTGTTGGGTGATGAGTTTGTGTCAGTAGTTCATCCTTAAAGCATGGGAACATTTTTATTTTATCTGTTAAAGATCTGGAGCTCTGGTGGTGCAGTGGTTAAGTGTTTGGCTGACAACCAAAAGCGTGGCAGTTTGAATTCACCAGCTGCTTCTTGGAAACCCTATGGGGCGGTTCTACTCTGTCCTGTAGGATTGCTATGAGTCGGAATTGACTCATTGGTGATGGGTTTGCGTTTTTTTGTTTTTGTTTTTTATTAAAGATCTAAACTGTATTTAGTGCTTCATTGTGTCAATATATGGGCACTTAATCTTCCTTGTTGATCACGCAACAATCATCCCAATAAATTATAAGTACCTGCTTAGAGATTTCTTTTCTCATTAAAGTTATTTTCCTACTGTTCATTTAACTTCATTTATTTAGGATAACAGTTATCCCAGGACTGGTTTTCGGTGTGGGGAGATGGAGAGAAGAGGGTGAAGAGAGAGAGAGAGGACATATAATACCAGGTCTCACACTCCTCTTCTAGCAATAATTTTCACACTCTTCGCCCACATGAACATCAGTTTCTATATTGGCTGCAACACAGTGAAGTCTTCAGAGAACATTCAAGTATGTTTAGGGATATTTTCTCTACATTGAATCATCCCAGACTGATGTGCCCTTCTCCTCCGTGTGCTCCGTCTCCATCCCTGCTGTTAGCTGTCACTTTGCCCCACAGCCGGTGTGTCTGTACCTAGTGGCTTCTCTCCACTTTTCCACATCACTGTGGTCTTCTATTTCTTTCCAGCAGCCACCTAAGAAAAACCGAAGCATGCCAGGGGAAAACCACAGATGCAAGCTTTCTCTTCATTAATTTTGCTCACAATGCTAAGTCAGTGCACTCCACAGGTGGGATAACTCCTTTCCTCTCATATGGACTAGAGACCAGGACTTTGGGACTACTTCTGTCTGTTCTGCTCAAAGGATTTTCACACATTGGAAACATTTGTGGCTTTTTATCTGGGTGTTTGCTCAAAAGTCTGACCATTGGATAAGCAAAGTATTGACTGTATTTTGTTGGGTGATTGTGGCAGTCAGAATGTTTTCTCCCTTTTTCTGGATGCTCAGCTAGAGGTTACATTTCCCAGCTTCCCCTTCAAGTAGATGTGGCCATAGAATTACGTTATCTTCAATGAAATATGAATAGAAATATGTGCTACTTCCATTCCACTCTCCACACAGGAATTTGCTTCACCTGAGTTTCTTCTTCTTTTCCCTTTCTGGCAGACTAGAAGGCAGATATTATGGAGTCCCAGCCTTGACCATGTAGACCAACCAGGATAGCATCCTGGGGAACGGCATCCTTTGGGAAATGCAGGTGTTCTCTCACTCCTTGGATTGGTCAGAGAGTTGCATAAAAGAAAATTCATTTTTATTTTACTTCAACAATTCTAATTTGTTTTTGTTTTTTGTTACATCAACTTAGCTATTACCCTAATTAACACAGAAATCAGGAAATCCCTCAATTTTTAAAGGAATCAAATTTTAAAAATTGATTTGTATGCTACACAACAATGGAAAAATAAACTATTAATGATGAACTATTGATATTGGAAAGGGGGCGGTAAACTATATTTGCAGATGACATGATTGTGTATTAGGAAAATCCTTAAGAATCTACAAAAAGCTGCAAAAACTACTGAGAGAATTTAGCAAGATTGCAGGGCACACAATAACAGGGTCCATTTTGAGGCTATATTCATGCATGAACTTAGATGTGCATGAATCAAGAACAGTCTCTGTTGAATTTTCTAAGAATAAAATGTCGT